CAATGGTGATAGTGGACATCCTTGATGTGTTCCTGGCCTTAAGGGGAAAGCTCTCAGTTTTTCCCCCTTGAGAATGATATTTGCTGTGGGTTTTTCATAGATGCCTTTTATGATATTGAGGTATGTACCCTCTATCCCTATACTCCGAAGAGTTTTGATCAAGAAAGGATGCTGTACTTGGTCAAATGCTTTCTCTACATCTATGGAGAGGATCATATGTTTCTTGTTCTTTCTTTTATTAATGTATTGCATCACATTGATTGATTTGCAGATGTTGAACCAAACTTGCAACCCAGGGTAACTCCCACTTGGTCCTGGTGAATAATCCTTTTAATGTACTGTTGGATCCTACTGGCTAGTATTTTGGTGAGAATTTGTGCATCCATGTTCATCAAGGATATTGGTCTGCAATTCTCCTTTTTGATGGAGTCTTTGTCTGGTTTGGGGATCAAGGTAATGGTGGCCTCATAAAACGAGTTTCAAAGTTTTCCTTCCATTTCTATTTTTTAGAACAGTTTCAGAAGAATAGGTATCAATTCTTCTTTAAATGTTTGGTAGAATTCCCCTGGGAAGCCATAGGTCCCTGGGCTTTTGTTAGTTGGGAGATTTTGATTACTGCTTCAATTTTCTTAGTGGTTCTAAGTCTGTTCAGGTTTTCTATTTCTTCCTGGTCCAGTTTTGGTAGTTTATACATCTCAAGTAATGCATCCATTTCTTCCAGTCATAATATGTTCTTATAATTGTTTGTGTTTCTTTGGTGTTGGTTGTGATCTCTCCTCTTTCATTCATGATTTTATTTATTTGGGTCCTTTCTCTTTTCTTTTTGATAAGTCTGGCCAGGGGTTTATCAATCTTACTAATTCTTTCAAAGAACAAGCTCCTAGTTTTATTGATCTGTTCCTCTGTTCTTTTGGTTTCTATTTCATTGATTTCTGCTCTGATCTTTATTATTTCTCTTCTCCTGCTGGGTTTAGGCTTTATTTGCTGTTCTTTCTCCAGCTCCTTTAGGTATAGGGTTAGGCTGTGTATTTGAGACCTTTCTTGTTTCTTGAGAAAGGCTTGTATTGGTATATACTTTCGTCTTAGGGACTGCCTTCGCTGTCCCAAAGATTTTGAACAGTTGTGTATTCATTTTCATTTGTTCCCATGAATTTTTTAATTCTTCTTTAATTTCCTGGTAACCCATTCATTCTTTAGTAAGATGCTCTTTAGCCTCCATGTATTTGAGTTCTTTCCGACTTTCCTCTTGTGACTGAGTTCTAGTTTCAAAGCATTGTCATCTGAAAATATGCAGGGAATGATCCCAATCTTTTGGTACCAGTTAAGACCTGATTTGTGACCTAGGATGTGATCTATTCTGGAGAATGTTCCATGGGCACTAGAGAAGAATGTGTATTCTGTTACTTTGGGATGGAATGTTCTGAATATGTCTGTGAAGTCCATTTGGTCCAGTGTGTCATTTAAAGTCTTTATTTCCTTGTTGATCTTTTGCTTACATGATCTGTCCATTTCAGTCAGGGGGGTGTTAAAGTCCCCTACTATTATTGTATTGTTGTCAATGTGTTTCTTTGGTTTTGTTATTAGTTGCCTTATATAATTGGCTGCTCCCATGTTAGGGGCATAGATATTTACAGTTATTAGATCTTCTTGTTGGATAGACACTTTAAGTAGGATATAGTGTCCTTCCTCATCTCTTATTATAGTCTTTGGTTTAAAATCTAATTTGTCTGATATAAGGATTGCCACCCCAGCTTTCTTTTGGTGTCCATTAGCATGGAAAATGGTTTTCCACCCCCTCACTTTCAATCTGGGGGTGTCTTTGGGTCTAAAATGAGTCTCTTGCAGACAGCACATCGATGGGTCTTGTTTTTTTATCCAATCTGATAGCCTGTGTCTTTTGATTGGGGCATTTAGCCCATTTACATTCAGGGTAACTATTGAAAGATATGAATTTAGTGCCACTGTATTGCCTGTAAGGTGACTGTTACTGTCTATTGTCTGTGTTCCTTTCTGGTCTATGTTACCTTTAGGTTCTCTCTTTGCTTAGAGGACCCCTTTCAATATTTCTTGTAGGGCTGGTTTCGTGTTTGCAAAGTCCTTTAGTTTTTGGTTGTCCTGGAAGTTTTTATCTCTCCTTCTATTTTCAATGACAGTCTAGCTGGATATAGTATTCTTGGCTGCATATTTTTCCCATTTAGTGCTCTGAATATATCATGCCAGTCCTTTTTGGCCTGCCAGGTCTCTGTGGATAGGTCTGCTGCCAATGTAATGTTTCTACCATTGTAAGTTACAGATCTCTTGTCCCGAACTGCTTTCAGGATTTTCTCTTTGTCTCTGAGACTCTTGAGTTTTACTATTAGATGTCAGGGTGTTGACCTATTTTTATTGATTTTGAGGGGTTTCTCTGTGCCTCGTGGATTTTGATGCCTGTTTCCTCCCCCAAATTAGGGAAGTTCTCTGCTATAATTTGCTCCAATATACCTTCTGCCTCTCTCTCTCTTTCTTCTTCTTCTGGGATCCCAATTATTTTAATATTGTTTTGTCTTATGGTATCACTTATCTTCGAATTCTGCCTTCATGATCCAGTAGTTGTTTATCTCTGGATCTTTATCTCAGTTTATCTGAGCTCTTTTTCTCAGCTTCTTTATTTTCCATCATTTGGTCTTCTATATCACTAATTCTCTCTTCTGCCTCATTTATCCTAGCAGTTAGAGCCTCAATTTTTGATTACACCTCATTAATAGCCTTTTTGATTTCCACTTGGTTAGATTTTAGTTATTTTATTTCCCCACAAAGGGTATCTCTGATATCTTCCATAGTTTTTTCAAGCCCAGCTAGTATCTTTAAGTTGTCATTCTGAACTCTAGTTCCAACATCTTACTAATGTCTCTATTGATTAGGTCCCTAGTAGTGGGTATTGCCTCTTGTTCTTTTTCTGACGTGATTTTTTCTGTCCTGTCTTTTTTCCAGAGGAGAATAGATCAATGAGAGAACAAAATGCTAACAGTGTAACAACGACCCCAGAAAAAGGTACACTAAACAAATCAGAAGAGACCTGAAACCAGCAGAAAAGAAAGGGAAAGAAAGAAAAAAGAAAAAGAAAAGAAAAAGAACAGATAAAAAAAAGAATATGATCAAATATGATTAGGCTGGTGAATCGATCAGTGCCACACACTGGATTTTCGGCATATATTGGTCTGTTAGAAGAAAGTGCCTCCCAAAATTTTAAAGAAAGAAAAACTTATACATGTAGAAAAATAAGGGTAAATATGATGAAGGGATAGAGTATGACTGTAAAGATGAAAATTATAAAAGATTTTATAATAGGAATTGATAATATAAGAATTTGGTTGAAAACAGAAAGAAGCGGATTTAAAAAAAAGGGAGAGAATGTGATAAGGCAAGAGACTAGAGATTTAGGGTATATTTTGTTGTGTTAGAAGAAACTGTATCCCAAAATTTTAAAGAGAGAACAACTTATATACATATACCAAAAATATGGTTAACTACTATGCAGGGATAGAATATGACTTTAAAAATGAAAAATAAAAAAGATTTTTAAAAAAGGGATTAATAAGATGTTGGTTGAAAAAGGGAAAAAGAAAAATTCAAATAAAAAAAAGAAAGAAAAAGAAAGTTAAAAAAAAGTTAACTTTGAAAGACTAAAGAATCATGGGGAAAAAGCCATGAATTCTATGTGCAGTATTCCCCTAGCACTGGAGTTCTGCCATTCTCATTGATGGGTAAACTTGGTCTTGGCTGCCTGTTCTTGCTGATCTGGGGGAGGGGCCTGTCGCAGCAGTTCACAAATATCTTTGCAGGGGGCAGAATTGCCCTACCCTTGCCAGGGGCTGGGCTAAGTAATATGCTTGGGTTTGCTCTCGGGAGCTTTTGTTCCCTGCAAGCTTTCTGCACAGCTTTGGAGGATGGGAGCGAAAATGGCGGCCTCCCAATCTTCACCCCAGAAGAGCCAAGAACTCAGGGCCCCACTCCTCAGTGAGCCCCAGAGAATAGCAGTCAATCACTCCCATCTCCCCGGTCTCTGGCCGCACTCCTGCTCACCTGGCCTGTGACCGAGCATTTCTATCTCTGGCACACGACCCAGTTTGGAGTCTCCAAACCCAGCAGGTTCCTGCAGTGCACTATCAAGCTGCTCCACCCAGGGGAGGAAGGGGAATCTCCCTGGATCTGCCACTTGTTGGGTCCCTGCTGGAGGAGCAGTGGCCCAACTGTGCCGCGGATCACGGTTTATGGCAACCCCGAGCTGAGAGCCCACTCCTTGGCTCTGTCTCTGCAGCCAGCTTTCCCGCTCCGATAGCTGGGAGCTCTGCCACACTCAGGCATCCCCGGTCTTTCTGTGACTCCGAGGGTCCTGAGACCACACTGTCCCAGAGAGGATTCCACCCCCCGCTTAGCCACTGGAGCAACATCCCTCAGAGGAGAAGACTTCTAAAAGTTCCAATTTTGTGTTCCGCTGCTCTATCACTTGCTGGTAGTGGCTGATGGAGGCCCCCCCCCACCATCTATCCTCCTGAATATCACCTCGGATTCACTTCTCCACACGTCCTACCTTCCAGAAAGTGGTCACTTTCCTGTTCAGAGAGTTGTTGCTATTCTTTTCTTCCATCTCCTGTTGAGATCGTAGGTGTTCAGAATGGTTTGATCCCTATCTAGCTGAATTCCTGGGACCAGACGAAATTTAGGTCTCCTCCTCCTCCGCCATTTTGCTCCTCCCCCCGAGGTGCTTGTCTTTTAAACAGGCAAATGAGCTTCCATTAAAAGAACACATTACTGAAAGTAGACTTTTAGGTGTAGTCCAATGAGCTACCCACTTCCCTCCCAGCCTCCTCATTGAGAAAGCAGGCAAAGGAAGATAAATTGGAAGATAATTCCAGCAGAGAAAAAAAAATGAACAAAAAGACTGAAGTGAATTGATATTGGCATGTTTAAAGCACAGAAAAGATATCTGTGTTTGTCAGAATATATTGGGGGAGGTTTTTGGTAGGCAGGGAGTAGAAGGAGGTAGATTAGATAGAAGTGGGGCCCTAAGCATATAAGGATTTGTAACTCACTGTCATCCTCCTCTTTTTGACCTCTATATATTAAGGCCCTCATAAAAGCTCAACCCTGCGTCCCATTCTTTATCTACACATTCTTCTTAGGTAATCCCATCCTGTGTTATGCCTTCTTTAAATAGGAACTCTGCACTAATTACTATCAAATATGTATCTCCAGCCTTGGCCTCTCCTCTAAAGGCCAGACTGTTATAATTAACTACCTATTCCATGCATCCATTCAAATGTCTAATACCACAAATTTAACATGGTCAAAATAAAACTACTGATTCCCAAACCTCAAACAAAACCTGCTTCTCCCTCATTCTCCCCAGCTCAGGTAACAGTACTACCATTCATCATTTGCTCAGGCCCAAATCTAGAAATTATCCTTGATTCTTTTATCCTTCATCCCTAGGAGTGGTTCTTCTGGGTTCCTAGTATCATATCCCTGGTAGAATTTAAACACACAGCAAATTGAACCCAAAAGAGATTTTCTTTTGCTTAAACCAATTCTGTCCAGTGCTTTGGATTCTGAGAACATCTGAAGAGATGATTGGATATAAAGTGTCCCCTGAAGGAAATGAACGTAATTATGGCAATGACTTTTTATATACTTCCTATGGTTTCAACAAACCATATTCATTTTTCTTCTGTGACTGGAAGAAAACTGTTGAATGAATTCATTCATAAAGACAGCAGGATATTTTATGTCAAAGTAATAATACTTTACACCTTTGTTGTATGTTGTAGTATTGTTAACGTTGCCTATTCCTAGAGGGCAAGCATTATTATATTTATACTTTTTTTTTAACCCTGGCACATTGTTGTTAATAATAGTTAATCCACAAATACTTATTAAATAAATCATCAATGTACAACAAGGTTTTAGTGTCTCTATAGCCTACTATAGTACTAGTACTTCAACAAAAACTATAAAATTTCCTTTAATTGCAACTACCAAGACTGGAACCCAGGACAGCCAGGACAAGATACATGAAAGCACTGCAAATAAAAAATGAAAGTATGCATACCACCAGACTGGTGGCAGGTAGAACCACACTCTGCCGAGATCCATGTGCCCATAATATGTCATCCATCCCACAGGTGCCGTTAGTCTTTTCATCAGGATCATACTTGAAGAGTGCATGTTCCTGTCCATCCTGATTTGTGGGGCTTAAAGGTTCAATGAAGTACTTTTGATCTCCCTGACTGAAGTAGCCCCTGAAAAACATGAAAATCCGGGCTTCTTAAAAAATATTCTGGCTTTTGGGTGCTATATAGACTTACAGACTCCAAAATGTTACCAATACCACATAATTTCAAGCTCATGGCAGTAGAATATAGTGCAACACTGTAGCTAGATACACTTAGAGATGACCTAAACCTATTTCTTCTATAAGGAAATGGGACCTGTTGGGATGAAGTGACTGCTGTAATGTCACATAGCTAATTTACATCAGTGCTGACATTAGAATGGAAATTTCCTGATTCTCACTCAGTGTTCTTCCAATCTAATACCTTGTCTGCTCAAAAGGTACACTGAAAATAAAGACTTTGAAGGCTTATAAATAAGAGTTAAGATTCTAGATACACCTGGATGGTTAATCAGCTCAGGTCATGATCCCAGGGCCCTGGGATTGAGTCCCACATCGGGCTCTTCGCTCAGCAGCGAGCCTGCTTCTCCCTCTGCCTGCAGCTCCCCCTGCTAGTACTTTTGCTCACTCCCTGGTGCATGCGCGCTCTCTCTCTAGCAAATAAATAAATAAAATCTTAAAAAAAAAAAGAGTTAAGATTCTCAGTCTATAACTTCTTGGATGTGATACCATGGGAAAATTACCTAAACTCACACAGCCTCAGTTTCTCCATCTATAACATGAGAATAGTACCTACCTAATAGAATGATTATAAAGGTTGAAGGACATAATATATAAAGCACATGGTAAACAAATATTACCAATTTCTTCTCAGTTATCTCTGCTGAAGCCCCAAGCTAAGATTCATTTAACCAATATTTAGGGAGCACCCATTATTCATTAGTCCTTGGATTAAAGGCAGACAATAAGAAAAAAGAGTCAGGGTTTCTCCTTTCATGGAGTTTATAGTCAAGTGAGGAAGACAGACGTGGATAAAATAGTCACATTTGACCCACAAATAACATAATTATATGACATATGAGATATTCAAAATTACAGATAACTGCTAGGACAAAAAAGTATAAAAATATATAATAGGAGACTGGATTAAGTGTACACAGAACTAGAAGACAAGAGTGGATGGGAGGAGGGTGCCTGGGTGGCTTGGTTGGGTGTCTGCCTTCGGCTCGGGTCGTGGTCCCGTGGTCCCAGGGTCCTGGGATCGAGTCCCGCATCGGGCTCCTTGCTCAGCAGAGAGCCTGCTTCTCCCTCTGCCTGCAGCTCCTCCCTTGCTGCAAAATCTTAAAAGAGTGGATGGGAGGAGATAAGTAGGTAGTTTGTTGCAATGGTCTGCATAAAGGATCATGGTAGTTTGGACTAGGATGTGGCAGTAGAGAAAGAATGTAGTGAATAATCTCAGTGAATATTTAGCATATCTAATCAATAGGGCTTGATAATGGATTGAAAATGGGTAGCTGAGAGGCAAGAAATCATCAAGGAATCTAGGTTTCTGGATTGGGCAAGTGGTTGGTTGATTATATCATTCACTGAGATAAAGAACACTGGAAAAATACCAGATTTGGGAGAAAAACATTAGTTTGATTAGGGGTGTATTACGATTGAGATTTCATTAATCTATCCAGATATGGATATATGGAAGACAAAATTAGATAATCAAGTCTGGGCATCAGAAGAAATATCTCATTGTAGAGAGATGCCTCGGGAGTCATTAATATACAGAAGAAAAGAATGTCATGTGTATTGATATGGGGACAAACTGAAGAGAGAGTTTAGAATAAAGAGGAAAGGTGAAGGGCTCCCATTCCCTAAAGAGTCAGACTCATAAAACCTATATTTTGAAAACAAACAAACAAACACACCTCTGCAAGCAATTCAAATGTGTAAATTTACAAACCACCATTAAGAGAAGCCCTGTTTCCTTCAAATCTCAAAATCCTTGAACCCTTAGGATTCATATTTAACTACAGTATACTTCATTCTATTTGAGATTCTTCAGGTTTTTTAAAACACACACACTCATGCCAATACCACAGGTATACACGAACCATTCATGAAGTCTTACCTTAGACCCCTACATGTGCTGATGCTAGCATCTGAAACTTTTTCATTAACGATGTGTCCTTGGTAATAACAGTCATCCTAAAGAAATGAAAAAGGGGGTTTTGTAAAGGAAAGTATATGTTTCTAAGATCCACTGCTAAATTTGAATTTGAAAGCTTGAAACAAGTTCCCTAATGTTTTCAAATCATTTTATGCTGAGCAACAGTCAAGTTAGAGATGTAAAAAAAAAAAAAAATGGTTAAGAAGCTCTTTATGGTTGGGGCGCCTGGGTGGCTCAGTCGTTAAGTGTCTGCCTTCGGCTCAGGTCATGATCCCAGGGTCCTGGGATCGAACCCCGCGTCGGGCTCCCTGCTCGGCGGGAAGCCTGCTTCTCCCTCTCTCGCTCCTCCTGCTTGTGTTCCCTCTCTCACTGTGTCCCTCTCTGTCAAATAAATAAATAAAATCTTAAAAAAAAAAAAGAAGCTCTTTATGGTTAAAATCTGTAATATTTAGTTAATTAACCCAATGCTTAAAGAGCATTTACTAAATGCACATTGGTATTGCAGAAAAAGGATGACAGGGATAGATGCATCATCTGGAAGAAACAAATTTAGAGATAGAAGTTTAAAACCTGAAACCCCAAAGCATCAGAGGTTCATTCTTTCCCTTGGCTGATTGCTCATTTTATTTTCTAACACCTACAAGCTTTTTCCAAAGAATGGATTATCATGATAATGTTGTTATTTCTTGATTTATTCAAAGAGTTTCAGCAGACTGAGTTAGTATGACATCCCCTTCTCCATCTGGAGCAAAATGCCCAATCCTAGCACTTTTCCATGTGGATGTACTTTAATCAAGCATACCTTTGTGCTTTGAGATAGATGAGGTATTGGCCCACATAAATGTCTGCACCATCACTATGAGGAGAATGCCTGAAGGCCTTCCAATAGAAAAATGGAGCTCAAAAAAGATGGCAATGACAAAATACTCCTCACGCTACTTCACACAGCCATATTCTCTAAATAAGAGTCAAGAATAAAAAATATTTAAGGAAAACAGAATCCTATAATTCTGTCATTGAGGAAATAGTCTTGAGTTGGAGCCACTATATGATCTAGAGAGGTGATTGGCATTGACTAAGAACACAAGATGTATTTAATTCTTCACTCTTCTAATGAAAATGAGAAACTCCTGCCCACTCTGTTATAGGGAGCTCCTGAAGGTTGGAAGAGGTTACCATGGTTGTCAAGGAATGCCTTTGTTCTTGTCAAACTGTACAAATATTAGAGGATCTATTAAGATATCACTACTGCGAGGCAGAGCAAGATGGCGGAGGAGTAGGAGACCTGGATTTCCTCTGGTCTCAGGAATTCAGCTGGATAGGGATCAAACCATTCTGAACACCTATGAACTCAACAGGAGATGTAAGAAAAGAATAGCAACAACTCTCTGAACAGAAAAGCGACCACTTACTGGAAGGTAGGACGTGCGGAGAAGTGAATCCGAGGAGATATTCAGGAGGATAGACGGCGGGGGAGGGGACCTCTGTCAGCCACTTCTGGCAAGTGATAGAGCCGCGGAGCACAAAATCGGAACTTTTAGAAGTCGGCTCCACTGAGGGACATCGCTCCAGTGGCTAAGCGGGGGGTGGAACCTCACGGGACAGTGTGGTCTCAGGACCCTTGGGGTCACAGAAAGACCGGGGGTGCCTGAGTGCAGCAGAGCTCCCAGGTATCGGAGCGGGTAAGCCGGCTGCAGAGACGGAGCCGAGGCGTGGGCTCTCAGCTCGGGGTGGCCGTAAACTGTGATCGGTGACAGTCAGGTCACTGCTCCTCCCGCAGGGACCCAACAGGTGGCAGATCCGGGGAGACTCCTCTTCCTCCCCCGGGAGTAGCAGCGCGGGAGCGCACCGCAGGGATCTGCTGCGTTTGGAGACTCCACACCGAGTCGGGTGCCAGAGATAGAAACGCTCAGTCACAGGCTGGGTGAGCACGGAGTGCGGCCAGAGACCGGGGAGATGGGAGTGACTCACTGCTTTTCTCTGGGGGCGCACTGAGGAGCGGGGCCTGAGTTCTTGGCTCCTCCGGGGTGGAGATTGGAAGGCCGCCATTTTCACTGTCATCCTCCAACACTGTACAGAAAGCTTGCAGGAAACAAAAGCTCCTGAGAGCAAACCCGAGCAGATTGCTTAGCCTGGACCGGCAAGGGTGGGGCAATTCCGCCTCCGGCAAAGACATTTGGGAACCACAGCAACAGGCCCCTACCCCAAAGATCAGCACGAACAGCCAGCCAAGACCAAGATTACCGATCAATGAGAACGGCAGAACTCCAGCGCTGGGGGAATGCTGCACATAGAATTCATGGCTTTTTTACCATGATTCATTAGACTTTCAAAGTTAATTTTTTTTAACTTTTTTTTAAATTTTTCTTTCTCCCTTTTTCAACCAACATCTTATCAATACCTTTTTTAAAAAAACATTTTTATTTTTCATTTTTAGAGTCATATTCTATCCCTTCATAGTAGTTACCCTTATTTTTGGCAGATATATATATAAGTTGTTCTCCCTCTAAAATTTTGAGATACGGTTTTTTCTAACAGATCAAAATATACCCTAAATCTCTAGTGTATGGCTTTGTTCTAGTCTCCTGGCTGATCACATTCTCTCCCCCCCTTTTTTTTCTCTTTCTTTCTTTCCTTTCATTTAATCCTCTTCTTTCTTTTTTCAAACATCGTCTTATCAATTACTTTTTAAAAATTTTTTATAATTTTCATCTTTACAGTCATATTCCATCCCTTCATCGTATCAACCCTTATTTTATATATATTTGTCTTTCTTTCTTTAAAATTTTAGGAGACACTTTCTTCTAACAGACTAAAATACACCCAAAATCTAGGGTGTGGCACTGATCAATGCACCAGCCTTATCATATTTGATCATATTCTGTTTTTTTTTTGTTTTGTTTTGTTCTGTTTTTGTTTGTTTTTATCTTTTTCTTTTTTTTTCTCTTTCTTTTTTCTTGCTTTCCCTTTCTTTTCCCCTGGTTTCAGGTCTTTTCTGATTTGTATAGAGTATATTTGCTGGGGACACTGTTAACCTGTTAGCATTTTGTTCTCTCATTCATCTATTCTCCTCTGAACAAAATGACAAGACAAAAAAATCACCTCAGCAAAAAGAACAAGAGGTAGTACCGTCTGCCAGGGACCTACTCAATACGGACATTAGTACGATGTCGGACCTAGAGTTCAGAATCATGACTTTAAAGATACTAGCTGGGCTTGAAAAAAGCATGGAAGTTATTAGAGAAACACTTTCTGGAGAAATAAAAGAACTAAAATCTAACCAAGTCGAAACCAAAAAGGCTATTAATGGGGGCACTAACTGCTAGGATAAATGAGGCAGAAGAGAGAATCAGCAATATAAAGACCAAATGATGGAAAATAAAGAAGTGAGAAAAAGAGAGATAAACAACTACTGGATCACAAGGGCAGAATTCGAGAGATAAGTGATACATTAAGACGAAACAATATTAGAATAATTGGGATCCCAGAAGAAGAAGGAGAGAGAGGGGCAGAAGGTATATTGGAGCAAATGATAGCAGAGAATTTCCCTAATGTGGGGAAGGAAACAGGCATCAAAATCCAGGAGGCACAGAGCACCCCTCTCATAATCAATAAAAATAGGTCAACACCATGACATCTAATAGTAAAAGTCTCAGAGACAAAGAGAAAATCCTGAAAGCAGCTCGGGAGAAGAGAGATGTACCTATAATGGTAGAAACATTAGATTGGCAACAGACCTATCCACTGACACCTGGCAGGCCAGAAAGGACTGTCATTATATCTTCAGAGCACTAAACGAGAAAAATATGCAGCCAAGAATACTATATCCAGCTAGGCTGTCATTGAAAATAGAAGGAGAGAT